CTCGCCCTCCCTCTGTGAGAGCCCGCGTGATGGCTGAGAACAAAACGTGCACTGGCCCTTTAAGAGGGTGCCAGTGTCTCCCACAGACTCCCAGCCCCAGTCTCTGCCCTGGACAGACACCCGCCCAGGCCCGGTGCTCTGGCTGGGGCCTCTCGGGAACCTCGTCCTCCCCCTGTGGGAGCAGAGCCGGTCCAGCCTCTGCCCCTCCCTGCCAGTCCCGGGGGCGGCTGCAGACCCGCCCTCAGGAGGCCTCTGTCCTGCTGCCTCAGTGGGTTACTCAGGGTGACTGTTCTGGGTGTTAGCTGTCATTCCGGTTTGGCCCTGAGTGTAGCTTCCACCTCCTCTGCTGCCATCTTGAGGTTCCCTCCTCTGAGTCACTTGTAGAATCAGAGGTGTTCATATATTTGAGTCCTGCTCTCGGTTTGACCAGGGGAGTTGGTGATGGAGAAGTTCCTAGAAGAGAGCTCCCCGCTGTGATCCCTAGGGTTTCACCCCTCTCCGCTCACCCACACACGCAGGCACGGCCGAGTGTAGTCGACACCTTAACGATGGCGATGGGCATGTGCTTCCCAATTTTGCATCCAAATTCCAACAAAATGTGAAAAAACGGGCATTGGGTATTCGGCAATGTGTGAGATGGATCACCCCGAGGAGCCCGAGGGGGAGATGGTTAACGTGGCCGGAGTCGCGGAAGGCAGCGGACAGGAGCTGTTTCAGGAAGGCTCCGGCAGGTGGAAGGTCTGGCCAGCCAAACAGGAGGGCGGGCAGCGTGCTCTCACCCGGACCGTCACCGGCAGGTAGGTCTGGGGGGATTCAGAGCGGAGCCGGGCACCTGTGCTTTGGCAGGACACACGTGTATGAACAAAGAACTGGGCCTCTCAGGCTCACACGTAAACACGGAAACTCCGTTCTCTCGGCCAAGAACCTCTCAAGTCTTTTACGGGACAGAACCTTCCTCCTCAGAGACCTCTCGGCAGCCCTCGGAGGACGGACTGGGCGGGGAGCTCGTGCGTGCCAGCCTGCTGTGCCCTCCCCGGGGAGCCAGTGTGGCAGGTGCCACCCAGGAAGTGCTGGGCGGGGGCGGGCGCTGCAGGCAGGGCTGGCAGGTGTGGGCTCAGGGGAGGAGGGATCCACTGGGCAAGAATGTGGGCCAGACAGACAGACAGCTTCCCCTTCGTGTTTTATTGATGGGAAGGTGGGCGAGAATCTGGACTTGGGACACGTGACCCTGTGTTTAGCTCTGGTTCTTCGTAATCTGGGGGCTGGAGTGAGTGCAGAAACGTTCCCCCCGTTTTTAATAAAACACACAGGCTTTCACAGGCGGAAGGTGTGTGACCCCGGCACCACTGGGTTTATTTTTTACCCCCGTCTTCCTTTATTCAAACTCAGACATAGGGAATAAGGTTTATTTAAAAACAAACAAACAAAAAAAGACTGCATTTGTATAGTCTGACAAAGACACATGGAAATATACCATAAAGTTAAAATCAGCTCCAAGCAGAAGTTTAGCAAAAGTATCTGATCTGGTAGTTGAGAAGAGGGTGCTAAAGTCTTCTTGACACTTCATTTTGTTTTCGCTAGCTCTGCTCAAAACCAATTTTCATTGGTTCAGACTTTAATTAAAAGGATTGTTCTTGCTTTGTATCTTGCCCGTTGAAAGCACTCCAGAACCAGCCCACATGGGAAGTGAGCTGTGGTCCCTCAGGGGTCTTCAAACTACGGCCCTCGGGCCACATGCGGCCCGCAGAGGAGTCTGATCCGGCCCGCCAGGTTTTTTGGGCAGTGAGCGCAGCCGAGGTGTTACAGTAGGAATTAGTAGTTCATATAGTCCGGCCCTCCAGCTCTCTGAGGGACCGTGATCTGGCCCCCACTTTAAAAAGTTTGAGGACGCCTGCTCCATGTGATGGATGAGCTGGGAGAGATCCAGCTGTTCCTGCTCACCCTGATGGCGCTTAGTACCCTGTTTCCCTGAAAATAAGACATGTCTTATATTATTTTTTTCTCCCAAAGTTGCGCTATGTCTTATTTTCAGGGGATGTCTTATCTTTCCATGTGTTAGGTCTTATTTTCAGAGGAAGTCTTATTTTCGGGGAAACATAGTAACAGTGGGGCACACTTTAAGCTTTTTGAGCTGCTTGAATTGCCAAGTTCTGATGTGTTTAGCAAGTCCGCCTGTACCACTCAGCTGTGCTCAACATAGGAATGTCCTTGTAAACACAGGGAAATCCAGTTTCCAACTGGAATGCTTTCTCACCTGACTCCTCCTCCTGATAGTGCTGCTCGGAATATCAGAGTCCAGAGAAGGGGCACAGAATTACTGGGAACGGATCTCTAATCATGAGAAATGCTCAAGAACAACTTCATCTTCATCTTGAATAAATTATTAGAGGAGACATTCAGAGAACTGACTATGAACTACTGTCACAGAAACTAAACTTTAAATTGTTTTATTATTTTAAAAAAAAGTCTTTAATTTGCCCTCAAATGTCATAACAAACCCATTATTGCAGGTCTGTAATCTCTCCTCCCCCCTTTTTTCTGAAAAAGGCAAGAAAATTCTTTATATTAAATGGAATAATTTTTTAAATTTTATTTTTCAATTTACAATCTACATTCAGTGCTATTTTGTTTTAGTTTCAGTGCACTGGATGGTGGTTAGATAATCATGTACTTTACAAAGTGTTCTCCCTGACAGTTTCTGGCACTACTGTTATTAAAATATTGACTACATTCCTTATGCTGTGCTTTACAGCCACTTGACTTTTTTGTTAATCCTCTCCCGAGGATATTTGTCCTATTGGTTTTTAGAGAGAGTGGGAGAGAGGGGAAGGGGAGAGAGACAGACATCGATTGGTTGCCTCCTGCACCAGAGCTGCACAGGTGCCTGGGATCGAACCTGCAACCCTTCCGTGTGCGCCAGTGCGCTAACCACTGAGCCCACCAGCCAGGGCCCAGTGACTGTTTAAAAAAATAATATATTTTATTGATTTTCCACAGAAAGGAAGAGAGAGGGATAGAGAGCTAGAAACGTCAATGAGAGAGAAACCTCGTCCAGCTGCCTCCTGCACATCCCCTAATGGGGATGTGCTCACAGCCAATGTACATGCCCTTGACCAGAATCGAACCTGGGACCTTTCAGTCCGCACACCGATGCTCTATCCACTGAGCCAAACCGGTTTCAGCCCAGGAACTTTTTTTTTTTCTCTTCTTAACAATTTGTATTCTTAATCCCTTCGCCTCCCCACCCCTCCCCAAACCCCTCCCCTCTGGCTACCATCAGTCTGTTCTCTGTATCATTTTTTTTATTCTGTTCTTTAGATTCCACATATAGTGAAATCATATGGCATTTTTCTTACTCTAACTTATTTCACTTAGAATAGCACTCTAGAGCTATACCTGACTAACATTCCCTTGTTCGTGTGCACCACAGCTTTTTTACTCACTTGAGTTGCTTCCGTATCTTGGCTATTGCAAACAATGCTGCAGTAAAATAGGGGTGCATACATCCTTTCATATTAGTGTTTGGGGGGGGGGGGAGAAAATTCTTAAGTATAAAAATGTAAGCTTAGCATCTTTTTCAAGCTCAATCCCAAAATGTTCAAGGGCATCCTAGCAGTTTTTCTTCAATAGCATTACCTTGTGAACTCAACTTGGTCTTAGCAAATATACTTATATTTACTCTGATATCTGAGTGTACTGATCATCTCACGGAGTTATTTTTGAGAGTGTGGTCCTTCCACATACATTTTTCATTTCCTAATCAATTGGAGAAGGCTTTATGGTGTTTTTAGGGCTTCCTCAATAAACAGAGCTAAGAAGCTTGTCCTAGGCCTTTCCCCTGGGTGGGCATGAGCCCCCATCATGTGTATTCCTGGTCTTCACCCTCAATGGGCGATTAATGGTGTCACACCAATACGGTGTGCCTTCTCTGAGTAATTCTGAAGCAACACGTTGTTCTCCTAGAAAACCTGTCAAACATCCCGGGTCCTTAGACTCTACCTCTGGGAGGAAGGCAGAGGCGCTGGTAGCAGTTTGTGGATCACTTGGTGTTTGGAGCCTGAGCCAAGACCAGATGTGAGCTGAGCCCAGGACTGAATGGGGGCAGAGGTTTAAGAAAAGGAATTGAGCCGATACCGGTTTGGCTCAGTGGATAGAGCGTGGGCCTGCGGACTGCAGCGTCCCAGGTTCGATTCCGGTCAAGGGCATGTACCTTGGTTGCCTTGGTGCGGGCACATCCCCAGTAGGGGGTGTGCAGGAGACAGGTAATCGATGATTCTTTCTCATCCATGTTTCTAGCTCTCTATCCCTCTCTCTTCCTCTCTGTAAAAAATCGATAAAATACATTACAAAAGGAATTGAAAAAAACTGCCGGCCCCCAACTGCAGGAAACCGGACCTGGGGAAGGAAGACAATGCGTACTGTCTTTTCAAGCGTTTGTCCATGGGAAGGGCTCCGGACTTAACCCCCAGGCAGACCTGCTGGTGTGAACCTTCTCGCTTCAGGTTCTGTGCGCCACTGACCGCGGCCCGCTGACCAGGGAACAGCTGACACTGAGCTCGGGCTGCAGGGAGCGCGGCCACCAGGTGGCACTCTCCCTCCGGGCGGAGCGGCCTGGAGCGGGCGCCCGCGGTGGGTCCGCGGCTCCGCGGCGCTTCGCGGGGTCGGAGCCGGGCCGGTCCCCCGGCCTCGCGCTGCAGCCGACGGGGCGGCCGGCGGCCTGGGCTGCGCCGCGACCCCTCCGCGCCCCGTCCCGCCTCTGCACGGCCCGCGGCCGGGCTGCCCCGCTCCCGCCTCTGACCACGGCCCGGCCCGCCCCCGGCCGCCCCCCGGCAGCGGGAGCCCCGCGCGGGCGGAGGGAGGGGGGAGGGAGGGAGCCGTTCCCGGCAGGACGGCCCGGGCCGGTCCGGGCGGGCGGGGCGGGAGGAGCGCCGGCGGAGGTTCAGGGGCGGCTCCGGGGGAGGCTCCGGCCGCCCCCCCGCCCCCGCGCCCCGGGCCCCGCGGCTGGAGCCGGGGCGGGGCCTGCGGCCGCCCGGGTAGAAAAGGCGGCGGCGGCGGCCCCGCGGTGACAGCCCGCCCGCTCGCCGCCCCGGAGCCCCGCCGCCGCCATGAGCGCCGCCCTCTTCAGCCTGGACGGCCCGGCACGCGGCGCGCCCTGGCCCGCGGAGCCCGCGCCCTTCTACGAGCCGGGCCGGCCCTGCAAGCCCGCCGCGCGCGCCGGCGAGCCGCCCGCCGGCCCCGCCATGTACGACGACGAGAGCGCCATCGACTTCAGCGCCTACATCGACTCCATGGCGGCCGTGCCCACGCTGGAGCTGTGCCACGACGAGCTCTTCGCCGACCTCTTCAACAGCAACCACAAGGCGGGCGCGCCGGGCGCCCCGGAGCCGCCGCCCGGCCACCCCGCCGCGCGCCCCCCGGGCCCGGGCCCCGCGCCGCGGCCGCTCAAGCGCGAGCCCGACTGGGGCGACGGCGCCGCCGCCTCGCTGCTGCCCGCGCAGGTGGCCGCGTGCGCGCAGACCGTGGTGAGCCTGGCGGCCGCGCAGCCCACGCCGCCCGCGTCCCCCGAGCCGCCGCCGCGGGCCAGCCCCGCGCCCGGCCCCGCGCCCGGCCCGGCCCGCGACAAGGGCGCCGGCGGGAAGCGCGGCCCGGACCGCGGCAGCCCCGAGTACCGGCAGCGGCGCGAGCGCAACAACATCGCGGTGCGCAAGAGCCGCGACAAGGCCAAGCGGCGCAACCAGGAGATGCAGCAGAAGCTCGTGGAGCTGGCGGCCGAGAACGAGAAGCTGCACCGGCGCGTGGAGCAGCTCACGCGGGACCTGGCGGGGCTGCGGCAGTTCTTCAAGCAGCTGCCCGGCGGCGCGCCCTTCCTGCCGCCCGCGGCCGGCGACGGCCGGTGACGCGCGGCGGCGGGGGCGCGGGCGGCGCCGCGGACACTCAGCCCCCGGCCCGGCGCCCCGCGCCGCCCGCTCCCCGGGACCCGGGGCGGGAGCGCGGCCCGGCCCGGCCGCCGCGGGACTCCAGAGAAGCCGGACTTGTTGGTTCCCCCTTAAGTTATTTTTGTAACGGCGGCCCTTTCCACGTCCCACTCCTGTCGGTGCAGCTAAGGTACTTTAAAGAAGAGACTTCTGAGACGGTCCTTTGTGTCCTAGAGAAGAGGGAGAGACGGAGGAGCATGCTCACTTTTTTTTTATATTAATTTTTACAGCGTTTGTAAGAATAAAGAAGTATTTTGAAAGCACCCGGCTTCCTGTATTCGCAGTGGCTCCTGCTCGCCGGGCCCCGGGAGCCGCTGGGAAGGCGCGTTCCGGCCCCAGGTGCGCGGTCGGGGCGGCCCCAGCGGGGCCAGGAGTCTCCGGAGCGCCGCTGGGCCGCGGGTCTGCTTTGAGCTGCGGGTCTGCTCCGCCCGGAAACGCGCCGGGCTGCGGGGTCTGTTTTGCCGGGAAACGCGCCGGGCTGCGGGGTCTGTTTTACTGGGAAACGCGCCGGGCTGCGGGATCTGTTTTGCCGGGAAACGCGCCGGGCTGCGGGGTCTGTTTTACAGGGAAACGCGTCGGGCTGCGGGGTCTGTTTTGCCGGGAAACGCGCCGGGCTGCGGGGTCTGTTTTGCCGGGAAACGCGCTGGGCTGCGGGGTCTGTTTTGCTGGGAAACGCGCTGGGCCGCGGGGTCTGCTCCGCCGGGAAACGCGCCAAGTCTCCTTCCAAGTTCGGTTTAACTTGCCCAGCGCAGGGCGACTAAACGCGTTAAGCTGAGAAGTTCTGGCGAAGGTGCCCGTGCCCAGGCCCAGGCTGGGGCGGGGCTGACCGCCGCCCGCTCCGCTGCCCCGGGGCCCTGGCGGACGGCGGAGGGGCTCCCGGAGGTGAGGGGGCGGCCGAGGGGCGAGGGGGAGGGCGGCTCGGGTTGTTCTGAACGCGGGTCTGAGTTCCCCTTGGCCTTCCCGGGACAGGACTGCTTTCCCTTTCCGCGGTTTCAGGGACAGTTGAGGTTTTCCAAGGGCGCACGAACGCAAACAGCCATGTAGATGGAAGGACCGCGCAGTGTGATGATCCAGAGTTTCATCTGCACAAATAGCAGAGCGTTTTTTTCCTTTCCCCTGACAGTGGGCACGAGGCTCCCTTTCCGGATTCGGGTACTGCGTCTGTGTTATGTAATGAACTATGGCCTGTCTGGATTACATCGTTAGAAGGGAGAAAACAAAACCTTTTGTGTCCAAAGCTAATAAATTTGTGCTTTTAATTTAAATCCCTCCCCACAAAGCAAATGTTAACCACCCACCCCCTGCAGTCTGCTCTCTGCTCTGCGCACAGCATACAGCTCAGTGTCCCTACAATCACACTCGTTAACTTACACTTTATGGACAGCGTTTTTGTACATCTGATAAAGTTCTCTAAAATATTTCCCCCAAATACTAAAAGGCAACCAAAAACAACCCTGAAGATGGGACATTTATTGCAGCAGAACAGTAATGTAACAATGTAGGACAAAGGGTTAAACTTTGCAGTGTATTCTTTGGGGCAATGTTTAACAAAAACTACAAGCAAAACATGTTGAAGGAGGGTAAACTTTAAATATAAAAACTTTAAAATTGCAATTATACAGTTTCTCCTGCTACATTAACATTATTGCCTAAGGTAAACACAAAACGAAGCCCTCAAGCTTATGGAAGAAGCTTTATTAACAGCTATGTCCCTAAGTTTGCAGGAAGGTAATAAAATATATATTTATAGTAGAAAAAATTTTGATTTATAGTTTACAAAGCCATTTTACTGACATGAGCCCCAGAAAAACTAAGTTGCATTTCAAGAGCATAAAATACATTCACTTTGCCCACAGTTAACCAGTAACCACGGAGCCAGCAGCAGCACCGGCAGCCGCCTGGGCCTCACAGGCTCGGAGGGCGGCCGGCGGTGCCTGCAGAGGCCTGTCCGCACCCAGCAGCTCGATCTCCTCCAGCCCCAGGCAGCGGGCCGGGGGGGTGGCCACGGACTGGACAAAACAACTTGGCAGCCCCAGCTCCTTCCCGATGACGCTCTCCACTGCGTAGCCCTGCAGGGAGAAAGTACGCTGGTTAGTGCTTGCAGCCCTGCGTGTTCTGTTCCCACCGCACAGAGCACGGCTCCACACAGTGAACAACACGGGTAAGAAGGGGAAAAGGAAAAAGGGCTGTGATTCGTTACAGTAAGTGAAGGAACTGGTTTTCCCCACAGGAACGTGTGGAAGGTGACCGGCGTTTGCCAGTGGAGGCAGCGATAAGCCTCAGCTGCCGCCCTGGGGGAGGAGCGGAGGACTCAGTGGGACAAGCCGGGTTTAGTAGCTGCGGAGGCTGGGGCTGGGCGCGAATCTGCTTGCAGCTGCCTCCCACTTCCTTTGGGACACTTCCCCAATCAGCCACACTTCTGGGCAAAGGACTCTAGTGTTCTGCCCCCAAACTTCCCTCTTCAATGGGCACTATTGCTTCTGGACGTACACCGAGGGTTGCAAAAAGCCTTGTATTTGCCTGCTGTTTGGTGAACATCTTACGGTGATTGGTTCATCTTGGCCACGTTCCATCCCTTGATGAAAACACAGGCTAGGAGGGTGTGGGATGCCCTCAGTCTCTCTAGATCAAGCATGTCAAACTCAAGGGCTAACACGGGCCAAATACACGAGGCATGTGGCCTGCGGGCCGCGAGTTTAAATGCTTGCTCTGGATCCAGCCTGGGAACACTGCCTCTCCGGCCGCGGTGGGCTGGGCGCGCTGGATGCATGCACGCTGGCCTCCGGGAGGCGGGGCCCTAAGGAGCTTTTCTTCAGGAGCATCTCGCACCTCCCTGAGCCAGAGCCGTGACAGAGCTCTCCGGAAGCGTTGCTCAGTGTGTTTTACCACACAGGCACGTGTAGTGGCTTCTCGGTGCCCTCGCTGGGTCTGAGCCTGGCTCAGTGACGCTTTTCAGGAACGGGGTGCAGTGGACAGGGCACTGAGTTGGTCCCAAGTTGTGGCCAGGACTCTCCCGGGACCCAGACACGTGCTGTGTGGGTCTCGGCCAGAGGCGGGCAGGTCCCGGGCACTCGGAGGGCAGAAGCCGGCGGGGACCGGAGGCCTCGGGCTCAGCCTGGCCTCTGGCCGCCAGCTGACAGCGGAGCGAGACGAGCCGTCCTGGTAGAAGCCGATCCTGCCCACGGGCCTGTGCACAGAGTGAGGGGAAGCTGCTGAGCGGGGAGAGGCGTGTTGGAAGCAGGAAGTACCGGATCAGTGGGTGTGAGCCCGGCTCCACTGTCCGCCCTCCCTCTGCTCGGAGGGGGCATGGCGGAGTGCCCAACCCGCTCCTGCCATCGCTCAAGAGCTTCACGCTCAGTAAAGGCTCCTGTAAGGACCAGAGCGGCCGAATGGAGAGATGGGGGAGAGGGAGTTGCTGGAGTCCAAGGTGGGAAGTGATGGAGCTAAAATATCTGACAGCAATGGTGGCAAAGGCCTTCTGCACTTGGGACCGTGTGTGACACAGACGTCACTTTATGGCCCGTCCCGGTTCAGTACGAGGCCGGGAAGGCTTGTCGCCGAGATGGCGGTGACCAGGGGCGGCCAGGCTGCCGGTCGGAGAGCGAGCACAGCGTGTGCAGAGGCCGCCACCGGCCCGGCTGGGCGGGGACACGGCAGGCCCTGTGCGGCTCCGGCCCCTCCACCACCTCCGTGCTGGTGTGTGTGACACGGGTGGTGTGTGTGACACGGCTGGTGTGTGTGACACGGCTGGTGTGTGTGACACGGGTGGTGTGTGTGACACGGCTGGTGTGTGTGACGCTGGGTGAGAGTACGGAATTCTGGCTTGAAAAAAGCAGCAAAAAATCACTTTAAAAAAGCCAGGTTTGGCAGCTACCATCTTCAGTAACAAGTACCATTGATAAACAAAGGTTAAATTATATATCCTTTATATAATATCTGGTGGCAACTAATACGGAGAGGTAAAAACAATCACACCCACCAACAATCGCATATGTACTCTCATAGGAGTGTGTACGTGCGTAAGCGTAAAATGTGTCTGTTTTTAAAAGGTACAACGTGTGTTCTTCTAACTTTTCCTTTTTGGAAAGTGTCACACACTGAGTGTTCGGTGAGCGCGCCGGTGGACAGCACAGCAGTGCCGCGGCCTCCCGAGGCCGGACCAGGCAGAGAAGGCGCGCACTGCACCGCGCAGCCTGCCCGAGGCAGTGCCTCCGTCCCAGGGCCTGGTGATGGTTCCACAGACAGCCTGGCAGTCCTAGGCGATTCCTTGGGTTTTGGCAAAAACCCAGAAAACAGACAGAATCCAGACTGGAAAACGCTTGGCTGATGTCTACATGGAAGTCCTTTTTTAACCTGAGGATATGTTTATTGATTTTAGAGATAGGAAGGGGGAGGGAGGGAGGGAGGGAAGGAAAGGGAGGAAAAGAGAGAGAGAGAAAGAGAGAGAGAGAGAAAGAGAGAGGGAGAGGGAGAGGGAGAGAGAGAGAGAGAGAAGAGAGAGGGAGAGAGAGAGGAAGAGAGAGAGAGAGAGAGAGAGAGAGAGACAGAGAAAGAGAGAGACAGAGACAGAGAGATGGACGTCCCCCGACTGGGGATCAAACCCGCAAGCTCGGTATGTGCCCTGACCGGGAACCGGACATTCCAACCACCTGAGCCACACCAGCCGGGCAGACAGTCCTTTCATTACCGTCCTCCAGCTCCTTCCGGTCGGACGTAAAGCGCTGGTCACCCCCTGTGCACGGAAACCAACCGCAGGCTTAGCACTGACCTTACTTTCCTGGTCGCTGCTCTGAGGACAGAGCCTGCAAAGCTGCGCCTGAAGCCATCACAGGGTGCCCTCATCCCGTGCACACACTCTACGCCCCGTGTGCACGTGAGCACACAGCCGTATGAGACAAGACATGAACACAGTACGCGCACACGCTCTTTTGAGCTCTTTTAGGATTTTACACGAGAGCATTGTGCTGTCCATCCCGGCAGGCTGCCTGGAGGAGGCCGGCCACTGGGTGGGGAGCCGCAGGACCGAGTGGGAGGCAGGGCTGGCCAAGGCCGCCTGGAGAATGCGGGCCAACCTGTGCCCGTCTGGGTGGAACAGCCGAGCTGTGCGTCACTCCCAAGTGCTGCTGGCTTTGGTTTGTTTAGGTTGCGGGTTTTGGTTCATATTCCTACGTGTTCTCCCTAAGCAGGAGGGTCACCAGCACCCCCCAGCCCTCTCCGCTTCCCGACACCCAGCTCTGTTCTCCTCTGCGCCCCCGGAAGCCAGGCCTTGGGAACTCCAATCCCCAGCCTTATCCAGGCCACGGCCTTCCCTCGTCCTCTCCTCTCCCCCAGGCGCTGAGGGACGAGGCAATGAGGTATTGCTGACTCATCACCATCGAACACACAGACCCCATAAGAACAGGAACACACACGAGTCCCTGCTTCCCCGGCCCCGGTCCCCAGGCTGGGCTGGCTGCTCCTCTGCCAAGTGGTCACTCAGGGGCCAGTGAGGCCTCTCCCTCTGCCTCCGACAAAGACAGTAGCTGTGGGCCCTGCGCCTGTGCTTCCCGGCAGGGAGTGTGGAGCCTGCCCTGGGGGGTCGGGAGATGACACAGGCCACGGGAGGAAAGCAAGGAGCCTTCTGGGGCCACTGATTACTTCCTCTCACTCCACTGGAAACGACCAGGGAATGCCTGTTCATAGACCTCCTGCAGCCCGGTCTGAACACTGCACCCCCTGTTCAGGCAGGCTGCGGGATGGCTACAGCAGCTGGCTGTGCCTGGCACCACCAGGTGGTCAGCCCGGTGCCCTCCTCTGGGCTCAGCAACTCCCTGCCACGGGTGCTGTCAGTGGCCGCGGGTGCTGTCAGTGCCGCGGGTGCTGTCAGTGCTATGGGTGCTGTCAGTGCCGCGGGTGCTGTCAGTGCCGCGGTGCTGTCAGTGCTATGGGTGCTGTCAGTGCTATGGGTGCTGTCAGTGCCGCGGGTGCTGTCAGTGCTATGGGTGCTGTCAGTGCCGCGGGTGCTGTCAGTGCCGCGGTGCTGTCAGTGCTATGTGGTGCTGTCAGTGCCACGGGTGCTGTTAGTGGCCGCGGGTGCTGTCAGTGCTATGGGGTGCTGTCAGTGCCACGGGTGCTGTCAGTGCTATGGGGTGCTGTCAGTGCCACGGGTGCTGTTAGTGGCCGCGGGTGCTGTCAGTGCTATGGGGTGCTGTCAGTGCTATGGGGTGCTGTCAGTGCCACGGGTGCTGTCAGTGCTATGGGGTGCTGTCAGTGGCCGCGGGTGCTGTCAGTGCTATGGGGTGCTGTCAGTGCCTCGGGTGCTGTCAGTGCTATGGGTGCTGTCAGTGCTATGGGTGCTGTCAGTGCTATGGGTGCTGTCAGTGCCGCGGGTGCTGTCAGTGCTATGGGTGCTGTCAGTGCCGCGGGTGCTGTCAGTGCTATGGGGTGCTGTCAGTGCCACGGGTGCTGTTAGTGACCCCAGGGTGCTGTCAGTGCCGCGGGTGCTGTCAGTGCTATGGGGTGCTGTCAGTGCTATGGGGTGCTGTCAGCGCCGTGGGTGCTGTCAGTGCCACGGGTGCTGTTCGTGGCCGCATGTGTTGGCAGTGGCCGCGGTGCTGTCAGTGCCATGGGTGCTGTCAGTGGCTGTGGTGCCTCCGGGACAGCCCGCCTTGGCGGGGCCGCCTGTGAAGAGGGGGCACAGCCTGAGGCACACTCCGGGTGGCTTTCCTGGAGGCGCCCAGCCCTTTGCCAAGTCACTGAGTGCCTCTCAGAAATAACTTACCAAACACTAAACGGAAAAGAGGTGTGTATCCCCGTTAGTCCTGCTCTCTCAGGGTGAGACCCCGGCTGCGGGACTGGAAACCCCCGCTGTTCTCCTACCATCCAGGGCGGGGGTGGGGGAGCAGGCTCCTGGCTGTGCACGGAGCCCACCCCACAGGGAAGGCCCTGCCGCACACAGGGCCCAGGGCCCTGGCCGGGCCTGGCGCAGCCTCGCAGCAGCAGGTGCTGGTGTGCGGGTGTGCCGGCCGCCGGGGGCAGCACAGGGCGCAGGCGGTTCACCTGGGGGGGACCTGCTGGCGGAGGGCGGGGCACAGAACACGCCGGGCACTTACCCCATCGTCCTCGCGGGCGGCGGACCCCAGGAGCGCGGCGATGCTGCTCTGCGCCAGCTGCGGGACGGACAGCGGGTCAGGCTCCAACTCCCTCTCACACCTGCCGCCTCCCTGACCCCGACCCCAAAGCTGCAGGCAGTGTGACTGCAGGCCACAGCCATGGAGGGCTGGTCCTGAGGCGGTCCTCCCGTCCCCGGGAGGGGCCGCAGGCCGGGCGCACCCACCTGGACCCTGACGGTGCAGTGGGGCCGTGCCGGGCAGGCCAGGAAGACCTGGAGGTGCCGTCGGAGGCCGGGGGCGGTGACCAGGCGGGAGCAGTCCGCACAGGAGAAGGCGCCCCTGTGGCTGGGAATCAGGGAGGACGGACACACACACACACACACACACACACACACACACACACACACAGAACCGTGAGCGTGCGGCCTGGACAGGGCTTTCTGACCAAAACCGGTGCTGAGACAGCAGGGGGTTTCCTGCCAAAAGCAGTTCCTGAAAGCGGCCCGGCCGGCTGGGCCGGGCTGAGGGACAGAGGGCAGCTCCGCTGGGCGGATGGCGGTGGCCGGACCGGGGAGGCCCTCACACGGGGACAGCACCCCGAGAGCAGAGGGAGCTGTGCCAGGGAGCCGGCTCCTCCCTGCCCATGGACCTCTCTCCGCCGTCAGCACTGCCGCCCTCCTGCCGCCCGGGCCCCGTGCTCCCACCCCGCCCTCCTGCCGCCCGGGCCCCGTGCTCCCACCCCGCCCTCCTGCCGCGCGGGCCCCGTGCTCCCACTCCGCCCTCCTGCCGCCCGGGCCCCGTGCTCCCACCCCGCCCTCCTGCCGCCCGGGCCCCGTGCTCCCACCCCGCCGCCCGGGCCCTGTGCTCCCACTCCGCCCTCCTGCCGCCCGGGCCCCGTGCTCCCACTCCGCCCTCCTGCCGCCCTGGCCCCGTGCTCCCACCCCGCCCTCCTGCCGCGCGGGCCCTGTGCTCCCACTCCGCCAGCCTGCCGCCCGGGCCCCGTGCTCCCACTCCGCCCTCCTGCCGCGCGGGCCCCGTGCTCCCACCCCGCCCTCCTGCCGCCCTGGCCCCGTGCTCCCACCCCGCCCTCCTGCCGCCCTGGCCCCGTGCTCCCACCCCGCCCTCCTGCCGCCCTGGCCCCGTGCTCCCACCCCGCCCTCCTGCCGCGCGGGCCCCGTGCTCCCACTCCGCCCTCCTGCCGCCCGGGCCCCGTGCTCCCACTCCGCCCTCCTGCCGCGCGGGCCCTGTGCTCCCACTCCGCCAGCCTGCCGCCCGGGCCCCGTGCTCCCACTCCGCCCTCCTGCCGCCCAGGCCCCGTGCTCCCACTCTGCCCTCCTGCCGCCCAGGCCCCGTGCTCCCACTCCGCCAGCCTGCCGCCCGGGCCCCGTGCTCCCACCCCGCCCTCCTGCCGCCCGGGCCCCGTGCTCCCACCCCGCCCTCCTGCCGCCCGGGCCCCGTGCTCCCACTCCGCCCTCCTGCCGCCCGGGCCCCGTGCTCCCACCCCGCCCTCCTGCCGCCCGGGCCCCGTGCTCCCACTCCGCCCTCCTGCCGCCCGGGCCCCGTGCTCCCACCCCGCCAGCCTGCCGCCCGGGCCCCGTGCTCCCACCCCGCCCTCCTGCCGCCCGGGCCCCGTGCTCCCACTCTGCCCTCCTGCCGCCCGGGCCCCGTGCTCCCACCCCGCCCTCCTGCCGCCCGGGCCCCGTGCTCCCACCCCGCCCTCCTGCCGCCCGGGCCCCGTGCTCCCACCCCGCCCTCCTGCCGCCCGGGCCCCGTGCTCCCACTCCGCCCTCCTGCCGCCCGGGCCCCGTGCTCCCACCCCGCCAGCCTGCCGCCCGGGCCCCGTGCTCCCACTCCGCCCTCCTGCCGCCCGGGCCCCGTGCTCCCACTCCGCCAGCCTGCCGCCCGGGCCCCGTGCTCCCACTCCGCCCTCCTGCCGCCCGGGCCCCGTGCTCCCACTCTGCCCTCCTGCCACCCGGGCCCCGTGCTCCCACTCCGCCCGCCTCCCGGGCACGACCCGGCGATGACCGGCTAGTCCCCGATGCCAGCCGGCCAGGAGGTGCCATGGAGGCATCTGCCTGGGCTTCTTAGGAAGCAGGACACAGAGCCCCTCCTCTCTGTCCGTGACAGAGCCACGGGGCCAGAGCACTGACTGGAGAAGACGCGCTGAGGCAGGAGCGGGAGCACCCAGCGGTCCCTGGTGTGTAAGGCGCCAGGTTAGTCTTTGTTCATGAGAACCCTGGCTTTCGCTCCCCCTGGTAACAAACCGAGGACAAGCCTGGCTCCTCCTTACAGGACTGAGCCGCAGGAGCGCGGAGCCCCCCGGTGTGAGGGACCCTTGGCTCTCAGAGCTCCCGGCCTGGCGGGGAGCAGCCGGACAGGGGCGGGGGGGGGGGGGGGGGGGGGGGGCCTGAGACCGGCTGCACCGCCCCAGGGTCTGTCGGGGGGTCCCTCCCCCTTACCTGTCCCCCGGGCTCTGCCTCAGCCGCTCGCTGCCGCAGCGGTCACACACGGGCCAGGAGAAGGCCGTGGCCTCGTCCACAGCAGTCACCGTGCCTGGGGGGAGAGCAGAGCCGGCCGGGCTGCCCTCAGCCTCTGTGCTCTGAGGGCACAGGGCTTTCCTCTCACTGTGAGCTTACGTGGATGTTCCGAAGACTCTTGCCCTTTCCATGTACTGCACAGCATTATAACGGCAAGAAGTAAGTTTTAGAACTGCCCGCATTGTACCTCAGTGTTTTCATTTGTGCCCGATCCATCTAGCCTTTCTCAGATGCACACGCACCGGGGTTTGCCAGCAAATCGTCAGCGCCACGTCCCACCCTCCTTTCAGGCTGCTGTGTACCACTGAGAACTGCTTTCCCGGTCCCACTGACATCCCATCTAGGTGACGTGTCCTAGTGCCCCCACCACTGCCCAACTGGACACGTGGGCTCCGAGCCCTCTGGCGGCTAAGCAGTGGTATCTTCCGGCCAGGACCCTTCCCTGGGATGGGTTCCCAGACGCAGAGCCTCTGTGAGCAGCGAGAGAAACGCCTCTCAGGTGCTCCCCACAGGACTCTGAGCCCCACCCCGCCCCTCGCAGGGCGGGCTCAGGCACTGGGCGTGGGGGGGGTGTGGGGGGGAAGAGCGGGGGACGGGACACCACTTTAAGAATCTGCCTCCTGAGCAGGCACAGCGGAATTCCTTCTCTTGTTTCCACTCTATTGGTTGGTTAGTATCTCTTATTCTGTGAGCTCCCTGGTTTCCTATTTCTTTTTACTCCCACATCTGTGATTTATGTTTTTCAACAAACAAACATGCATTCAGTGCTCTTTGGGGTGGGATACATGAGTAGCACTAAAAACATAAAGATGAATGCTGCACTTCAGATAAACAAATAGTGAGTAAAAATACCATGAAATATGGGGTAAGATGTTTGCAAAGGACGTATCTGATAAAGGACTAATATCCACAATCTATAAGAATAAAAGCATAATATGCAAATCGATCAAACAGCAGAACGACCATCCGGGACCACGCTATGACACCCACCGGCACCAGGCCAGCCAGGGCGGGTGCGATGCGATTGGCGGGGGGCTCGGCCATCGCCCCATGATCGCCCCGCAGAGAGGCCCAGGCCCCGCGGCGGTGGGGCCTCTGTGGGGCCATCACGGGGCTCAGGGACTGTGAGAGGGTGCAGGCTGGGCTGAGGGACCCCCTCCCCCCCAGTGCAGGAATTTCATGCACCGGGTCTCTAGTATAAAATAAACTTTTAAAACTCAAGAGTAAGAACACAAACAACCTGATTAAGAAATGGGTCAAAGAGCTTACCAGACCTCTCACCAAAGGAGATACACTGATGGCAAATAAGCACATGAAAGGATGTCTAACATCTTACACCATCAGGAAAATGCAATTTAAAACAGCTCAATGCCAAACCACATGCCTATTAAAATAGTCCAAGCCCGGAACGCCGACACCACCAGAGGCTGCGAGGACAGGAGCCTCTCACCCGGGGAGTGCGAAATGGCGCAGCGACTTTGGAAGGTAGTTTGGTGGTTTCTTATAAAGCTACACACACTCTCACCACACGACCCAGCAATCAGACTCCTAGGTATTTACCCAAAGGAGCTGAAAGCTTAGTCCACACCAGTGTCCGAATACAGATGTTTACAGCAGTTCTGGTCACAGCTGGCAAACCTGGGAAGCAAGTCCCTCAGGAGGTGAATGGATAAAGGAACTGTGGCCCACTGGACACAGAACATCATTCCCGCTAAGAACGAGCGATGAGCCATGGGAGGAACCCTAAGTGCACACTGCTTGGTTAAAGAAGCCAGTTTTAAAAAGCTATGGTGCCGACTATACATAGACATTCTGGAAAAAGCACGACGATACAAACAGTAAGATACAAACAGTGTTCTGGGCGGGAGAAACGAGCTGGTGGATGGAGTGCAGAGGGTTTTCACGTCAGCGGAGCTATTCCGCAGGACACCATATGATGGATGCATGCCACGCAGTGTCTGAACCCAAATAAAGGACAGCACCAACGCTGACCTTGACGTAAACGATGGCCTTGGGCAATTAGGATGTGTTCTACTGCAGCAAGTGTGCCATGCTGATGGGGGATGCCGACAGTGGCAGAGGCTGTGTGTGTGTGTGAGTGTGGGTGTGGAGAGGGTGAAGGGGGGAGAATAAGGGAAATCTCTGTGCCTCCTGCTTACTTTTGCTGTACACCTAACACTACCATAAGTAAATGCTAAGTTGAGAAATGGAACAGACCCTTCAGAGGCGCAGAAGAGAGGCCCCCTAAGCGGCTGGAGCATCAGGGAAGGCGTCATAAAAGAAGGGAACTGAGGTAGGGAGGCAGGTGGGGGGCGGGGCACAGGCCTGCCCTGCTTCCTGAGGTCAGGCATGAGGCCAACCAGGCATACAGGAAAGGCAGGCCAAGTGGCTGTAGAGGTAACGGACTATGATTACTCAGGGTCTTGCTGAGGATTTTATTAAAAAATATATATATATATTTTTACTAATATCAGGAAAAAAAGAGAGAGGGAGAGATAGAAACATCAATGATGAGGGAGAATCATTGATTGGTTGCCTCCTGCATGCCCCCCCCTGGGGACCAGGAATTGAATCGTGACATTGTAGTTTATAGGATGACAGTCAAACGCTGAGCCACACTGGCCAGGCTTGCTGGGGCTTTTAGACTGGACTGTGGAAGGATGAGAAGCCAGTGAAGAATTTTAGGCCAACACTGAGATGGTCTAATTTTCCTGGAGTGGGAAGCGTTGCAAATATTCTGTTAATCACAGACCGTCCTGTAGAACAGTGTTTCCCAAACTTTTGACCTGTGTGCACCCCTTCTATAATTTTCGTAACGCTGAGTATCCCTCGTACTCATGAGAACGTAGAATTAGGTGCAGCTAAGCATGGTGCAGTGCATATCCCCACTAAACTCCGGTGCAACGCGTACCCCACCTAACTCTTCCCGTACCCCTGGGGGGACTCGTACCGCACTTTGGGAAATACTGCTGTAGAAAGTGAAGTGAGACATTTGAATAACAGGAAGATGGGGCCTGCATTTCCAGCTACCTTCCCACTCTCTGTGGTGGGGATGACTTTCATTCCCACCAGAACAAGTATTAGAAGAAAATTCAACTGCAGAGGGCAAAATAGATTTATGAGAACTAAGCAGGTTGATTTATGAAAATATATTCATGTGATACATACTTGAATGACTTTCTAAAAATGAAAGTAACACATCTTGATTTTGAAAAAGCTGCCCACCTAATTTCATTGACCTTGAAAATGTAATGAATATCAGGTTAAAGGGACAGAAATCACTGTCAATAAGAGCTTTTAACACAGCCAGAAAGGAGGGTCAACTAATTCGCAACAGGCAAAGGCGCAAGGCAAAGGGAGTGGCTCTCTCCCCAGCAGAGAGCCTGGCTCACGGCAGCAGCTGGTGTCTGCTAAATGCATTAATAAAAAGGAGACTGCTACCAATCAAGGTTCCTTTTGATCTCAGGATAGCTTTGGGTGCTAATAGCATTGACATTTATATGGAATTAAGTTACTTCCATTCAATTAGGACAGGGGTTGAGGAAATGTACTTCATTTGGGATCTGTACACCACTGGAAATCCCTCTGCAGCCGTAAGTGAATTCCAAAGGAGGCCTGGGAAGTGTATGAACCTGTTAGCATCTAGAACATTCACTGAAGCAAGCATCAGAAAAAAAACACTTTTTGTTAGTTTGTAAGTGTGATGCCACACGCATCACTTGGCTGCAGTTTGCTATTTAAAAACCTTTACTTTCCTTGTCTTATTTACAGAACTCTCTTAGAATCAGGCGTGGGAAGGTATATCACATATTTATTAAAACTTCTTTTTAAAAGGTCCTATGGAAGTGCTTCCACCTTTTTTCCTTTTGGAGCACACAACAGCTCCGCGCTCCGGAGAGCCCAGCTTTCCTGGCACTGAAAGCCTGGTTTAAACTTTCTTCAGATACTTTGAACTCTGCCGCACTCCTCCCGCCTCTCTGACAGAAAGAAGTTGGGGCTCGGACATTTTTCTTCTAGTTAGAGGCCGAAGCCAAGGCTTTGCCACCACTTCCCAAGGAGACACAGAGTGTGCTTGCTGCATCCATTCCGACCACGGCAAGTAAGAGCGTTAGACACTAACACGCAATGTATGTATACACACGTGGTGAGCAATACACAGAAGATAACATCAATGATGCAAAACTTTTTCACCCCAGAAAACGAACTGGAAGGAAGTCCCCCTGGGAGGTCCTGACAACACAGCCCTCTCGCTGCACAAGCTAGCCTCTGGCTTTGTCGCAGGTCACTCCCTCCATGCAGGTGCCCTTTGGCCTCCTTCCAGAATCCGGGGCGTACCCACCCTGTCCTTCCAGCAGCCTTGTAAGTCCTGCTTTTCCCACCAGATATTCTTCCCGACCTCCCGCGTCACCTCATTAGCTCCGTCCTGCCCGTGGGGACCTTGGTGACCGCCCGGATGGGGGAGGTGCGGGGAGCAGCCCTGGACCGCCGGGCTCGGTGCCTGGCGGTGTGCACATCTGACTGATGCCTTCTGTACAGACTGCACAGCGGGAAGCAAGAGCCTCTTCTGATGCTGCTCCTGTGTGGCCAGTGTCCGGAACGTGTCAGGTACTCAACAACTACTTGTTGACAGGTGTGGCATTTAAGAAAAGAGAAACACCGTTTCTAATAAGATGGACTACCCACCTTGAACGCTGCAGATGCAGTTGGCCTGAGTGACGGAATCCAGGCCGTCGAGCCTCACGGGGCCCGGCGGCTCCCAGGAGTGGGTGCCCGAGGCCACAGCCAAAGTGGGCTTAGGGAGCAGGAGGACAGTGCGTTCACCACAAACAATCCGACCTGTCAGGAGAGACGTTCCAGACTGACCCGCTGAGGAGGAAGGGCAGCCTGCCAGGACGGCAGTGCCTCTGCCGGATTCCTGAGCCGGTGGCCTGGGGCACAGCTGTGGGTCCCTCCGCCGTGCCCAGTGACACGCACTGTGCAGGAAGGGAGTCCAGAGCCACCAGCGCGCGAAGCTGAAAACGCACACAAATACTATGTTCATTTCAATGCAAAAGGTGAATCTTATGGTATGAAAATTATATCTCAAGAAAGTAAAGAAAATACATACACAGTTGAGGTAGGCTCCTACTTCGATTCCTCGACTAAGTGTACCTGTTTACAATTTGTGGTTTTAAACACGTCGTCTCAGGCAATGGCTTAAAGTGGCTTTTGCACCTGTAAAGCTCGCCGTCCCCAGACAGTCCCAGAGTGGCCAAGGGCACCTCCGACAGGGGTGTCCGTACTGGAAGGGGCTCAGTGAGAGCCGGGGCGGCCCCGGGGGGCTCTGCAGGCCTCGCCGTGCCTGCGGAGGGCGGGGTGGTGGCCCAGCACACAGACCCGGAAGCCCCACAGCCCCGGGGTGGGATCTGAACGGCCCCGCCGGCTCACGGCCGGCCGTGAGGACACGTACCCTGGTCTCGGAGGGCGTCTCTGAAGAAGCAGCGGTGGGCGGCGGCCGTGCCGAGTGCTCCCAGGACGTCCGGGCCCAGCGCGCACGTGGGGGTCACGCGCACGGGCAGTGTTCTGGGGAGGCCGGGGGAATCTCCGTCCTGCACTTGCAGGCTGACGTCGGTCACCACCAACCAGATCTCCCTCTGCTCCAGAGGGAGCAAACTGCTTCGCTGCGAGACACAGTCAAGGCTATGAGCTCGATAGCTCCTCTGACATCCAAATGACGTTTAAAGCAATGTTAGACGGCCGCTCTTTAATGATCATCATTTATGTTAACATCATCACATGTCTACATGAACGCCACTTCAACGCACGTTTAAGAACACGCCAGACCTGTCATGTCCCGCTCACAAGCCCCATTGGCACGGCTGTGCCGTGGGCCCCTCCCCGCACGGTCACGGCCTCCTTCGCGCTGGCTCTGCTCTCCCTGTCCTCTGACCTGCTCAGGAAGAGCCTGTGTGCTCTGCCTCCTGATCCCATGTTTGTGTCCCTGTGATGCTAATTACCACACTGTCTTACATTAAGCGCATATGTGTTCTCCTGTCCTGCTACATGCACGTTTCCTAACGGCTAGGAAATGCCACGGAACTGAATGGTTATGACCCCCGCCACCAAGTTACTATGTTGAAGTCCTAACCCCCGATGTAATGGTCGTGGGAGGCGATGCCTCTGGGCGGTGGTTAGGCCTAAGAGAGGAGTCCTCGTAGTGGGACGAGTGCCCTTATGAGAAGAGATGGGAGAGTGCGGCTTCCTCTCTGTCTGACATTGTGAAGAGACAGGAGTGGCCTTTGTGAACGGAGAGGAACCCGGCCACGCAGGCACTGTCCCCTCAGGCCTCCATGCTCCAGACATGAGGAACACGCTTGCTGTTTAGGCCACGCACCCTGCGGCATTTGGTACAGAAGCCCAGGCTGAGAAAGACGGAACTACTACTTATTAAAGCAGGTCTCAAATGTTTGTTTTTATTTTTCTTCTTTCCTTTCATTATTCTTTTTTCCTTTTCCTTTTTTATCTGCAAAAGCTTTCACACCTTTTCAAGTTTATGATATGGCACTCTGCCCTTTCCTCCTGATCAAAGTTTAGGGCTCACTAGATGCAACTGGGGTCAGGGGTTTGGCGGGGAGGCCCTGGGTGCTCTGTGGGGCTGGGCCGGGGAACCCGCTGGCGTGCGGTCCCGTTGGCTTTGCTGGTGTGATTGGTGGGATGAGGATGAGGAGTTTAAATTTATGGTTTTTAGAGAGCTGAGAAAGGACAGAGGGAGGGAGGGAAACACTGATTTGTTGTTACACTTACTTATGCATTCGTTGATTTTTGTATGTGCCTTGATCAGGGATCGAACTCACAACCTTGGTGTATTGGAATGACACTCTAACCAACTGAGCTACCTGACCAGAGCCATTTCTGTTGTTTTAAGCCATCTAGTTGTTGGCACTTTGCACATTAGGCCTAGGAAACTAATATATGTATAGGGGTGGGCAAAAGTGGTTTATATTGTGAGTCCATGAAACACAGAATTTATTCTTATATAAGCATTTATTAATTATTGTATTGTTTATTTGCATTATAACTGTAAACCTACTTTTACCCATCCCTGTACACTGCATGCTTCTATGCTTCTATCATAAAATAAGAAAATTGTAATGATGAGAATAGATGTCGGGATGGGGAACAGGATGGGTGTGCCTCTAGTGGGAGCATGAGGGAGTCTGTGGTACAGCTGAGTATGTTGATTGTGGTGGAGATTAGGCAAGGCTACACATGTGACAAAATGGCATGAAAGTACTCATACATATACATGCACGTGTGCACACATGCATGACGGTTGAGACCTGAACCAGTTCTGTGGATTGTGCTAGTGTCAGTTTCTTGGTTTTGATACTGTACTGTGGTTACTGCAGGTATGGGATGATGGCACGAGGGTGCATGCAATCCACTGTGAATCTATAATTACCATGAATCTAAACATTTTGAATATTCAAAACAAAAGCTAAAGACAAAAAAGTACCTTTCACTTTCCTGAGTTAACCATTGGCACAGTTCTGCCAGCTCGGGTCTCACTGAGCAAGGCCACTGCGCGTGTGTCGGCTTAGCCTCAGAGTGGGCCCAGGACTTAGCATTTCAGTTCCTCTCCACGGAAGTTGGCTTTGGTGATTCACTTTCCCACAAAAGCAAAGACAGAGGCATAGAGAAGGCCAGGGAACTGAGGAAGTTCAGCGCTCGGTTGGGTTCTGGGGCCCTGACTCTTTCCAACGGACCATCGACCCCTCGGTTCACACCCACTGCAAGGCATGCTGCAGGCAGGCTGTTCTTGAGCCGAAATAGGGAGCCGATTTCTTGGCAGGAAACTCAGAACAGGAGGGACCAGTCGCCTGCAGTGTGTGTGTCTCTCTCTGCTCTAGGGCTCCCAGTGGGATGGGCGGGCGAGACCTGGTGATGGTGTGAGCGTCTGACACCTGCTTTCTTTACCTTCCACTTCTGGTGTCAGCTGCAAAGCTGCGGGCAGCCCAGGCTCCGTGGGGAGGAGCACGTGGAGCAGCAGCCACAGGGCTGACGTCCCTGCCCCAGGACAGCATTCTGCCTGCAGCAACACAGCGGCCAGCCCCTGGCCGCGGCCACATCCCCAGCCCCTGGACGCACTTTACAATGACAGGAATGTGCCGGGTGCCTGGTGAGCGTCCCGCAGAGGAGTGCACAGTCAGGTTCGGATGCCTCAGACTCAGAAAGTCAGAGACATCAGGTGAGCAGACCGTCCAGAGGCAGGACGGCTCACCAGGAGCACGGCTGAGTGACTGATGCCAGCCTCCCCTTACTCCTCAGGGGCGCTGATTAGCTGTCATGTGACTGAAGGGTGAACAGAGAGAGAAAAGCAATGGGATGCTCTCCGCCTCTCAGGGCACTGAGATGTGCATGTTCCTCTGAGTCAAGGCCCACCAGAGGTTCCTTGTGAGACGTACACCATGGTTTGAACGTGCCCAAAGCTCTCTCTACTTGTCTACTCTTAGCTGACCTGCGAAGCGGACAATGAGCCCCTCTAGGCCGCCCCGCCCCCTCCCGGGAACTGCCCACGGCAGAGGGACCGGAGGGCTCCCTCACCTGTCCCAGCTCGCAGACCACTGAAGAGTTACTTCCGAGAAGTGGCTGAGCTCAATCCTGAGATCCCTGCTTTCACCCCAATTCTGAGGTTTCAGCTTTTCCTTCTTTTCTGCAACCTGCCATGGTCAGCTAGGAACCACGGCTCCTGGGCGAGAATCTTGCCCGGGCAGGTCACGCCGAGCTGTTCTGTCCTCAGCACTGAACGCAGCGGCCGCAGCCCACACCCACGCTTCAGCACCACGCACGCGCCACTCATTTCAAACGTGCTGTTCTATTTTGATGCCCCATTAATGTCGAAGGGGGGTGAATGATCCTTTAATAAAGTTTAAAACACTTTATGCGTTATAACACGTTATGAGGGGAAAGAGAGAGAGAGATTACCGATGGTCTTTGATAAATCACTCTGGCATAGAAGCTGCAGCGGGCACCAAGATCATCAGTCTGAAAAGGCATGGAAAAAGATATGTAACATCACACAAAGCTCACAAATTAAAAAAAAAAAAAAAAAAAAGTAACCGAAGGCCGGGTTAGAATAAAGACATTACCTGGAGAATTTCTCGTAAGGAGCAAGGAGCCGGAGGCTGGTAAAGCTTAGAAACAGGGTCTTCGATGACATCGATCTGCCCCAGCTGGGGGTGAGCCGCGAGGACATAACAGAAGCTGGGAGGCAGGTGAGAGTTTACCTGTTGAAACAGGGACAGGATAGAACGTGGATGCCTTGTTAAAAGACTCAAATACAACATGTAATCTTCATACAGTTTTATTCACAGATGAATACTGTCTCTGAAAGGCGGGTAAGAATACCTACATAATAAACAGATTATGTTGTTTATCTCTGGGACCAAGTATAAAAACTTGTACTTTTGAATTTGTTACTGATTCAGATTTCATTTTAGAAATGTATTCTTCAAAGTATATTTAAAACACAATTTAGAACATTCTCTCAAATAATCTAGAAATGAGCATTTTTTAAACCGAATCTATTGGGGTGACATTGGCAGACAAAATTATATAGGTTTCAGGTATACAGTTCTGTAATACATCATGTGTATAACGTAATGTGTGTTCACCATCCAAGTGAAGTTTCCTTCTTTCACCATCTATCCCCCCAAACCCCTCTTCTCCCTCCCTTCCCCTCCTTTCCTCTGGCAATTACCATATTGTTGTCTGTTTACGACTTTTCTTAATCCCTTCACCCAGCCCTGCAACCCTCCTCCCCTTCCACAGCTGACAGTCTGTTCTCTCTGAGTCTGTTTCTTCTTTGTTTGTTAGTTTACTTTGTTCATTAGATTCCACACATGAGCGAAAACATACAGTATTGTCCTTCTCTGACTGGCTTATTTCACTTAGCATAATGCTTTCCAGGTCCACCCATGCTGTCGCAAAGGGTAAAATTTCCTTCCTTTTTATAGCTGAGTCCATTGTGTAAATGTATCACGGCTTTTTTTTTTTTTTTTAATTGGATATGGGAGTTTTTGACAACAATTTTGCTGGCCTAGCACAGTCATATCCTAGCACTGTGCTAAGAAGTCAGCTACTACTCAAAGAAGACTGGCCCAGTTTCCAGCGCTGGGAACTGTAGCCCAAAGCAGTGCTGCCAGCCTGGTGGAGGATGCCCAGGGGAGACCAGAGGAGACACATTTTAATCAGTCACTTTTTCTACCTGTGAGCAACTACATAAATAATATGAGGAGGCAGGAAAATGGAAATTCCTGGCTAACGTGTTGGCTGTATGAATACCATGGATTTTATTTATTAGGTTTTATGAGTTTCTGCTCTAATTGGCAACGGAGTGTTGGTTCTGCTAGTGACTGGAAGGCAGGAGGTGCTGTGTTTTGTTTAGTATGAGGCTAAGACTCTCACTATTGATTGACCCCAATAGGATGACACCTGGGGTCTAAAGACACCACCATAAATGAACCTCAAGAAGAATACACTGAAGCACGGGAGGAAAGCAGCCAGAGCGTGGGCTTTGTAACGATGGCTCTGGCCTGGCTCATGCTCACTGGCCTTCTCAGGACTGTGGACTGTGGAGGCGGAGCCTGGCATAGCACCTGACCCAGAGCAGGTGGTGACGGGGGGGAGGGAAGGGCTTCCTCAAACGCCGAGCTTACCTCTTCACAGGCCTGGCCGTGGCCAGGTGCTTTCAGAGGCACCACTGGAGGCCACAGAGTGTCAATCAAACTGAAAAGCCCTGCTGTCCTGGAAAAAGAAGGGACCAGTCACAGGTGTTCATCAGTAAGCATCACTTACCAAGCACCTGGCCAGGGAGCCGGTCATACATAGACCTGCTTAGCAGACACGCCCCTCGTGCCAAGGCCCACCATTCGGGAGAAGTGGCAATTCAGATGGAAAAGACAGTGGCGCGCAGAGATAAACACACCTTCAACCTGACTGCGCTAGAACAGGACAGAGACTGTTCAGTAAATGATAATACATCTTCCTCTCCAGTGTGGATGCCTTTTATTTCTTCTTGTCTGATCGCTGTGGCTAGGACTTCAGTACTATGCTGAACAAGCGTGGTAGAAGAGGGCATCCCTGTTTTGTTCCCGTTCTTAGGACAAATGGTTTTAATTTTTGCCGACTGAGTATGATGTTTGCTGTAGGTTTGTCATATATGGCCTTTATTATGTTGAGGTATGATCCCTCTATTCCCACCTTGCTGAGGGTTTTTATCAAAAAAAGGGTGTTGAATTTTGTCCAATGCTTTTTTTGCATCAATTGATATGATCATGTGATTTTTGCCTTGCAATAGGTTTAGGTGAGCCGAAACCGGTTTGGCTCAGTGGTAGAGCGTCGGTCTGCGGACTGAGGGGTCCCAGGTTCGATTCCTGTTAGGGGCATGTACGTTGGTTGCGGGCACATCCCCAGTAGGGGGTGTGCAAGAGGCAGCTGGTCGGTGTTTCTCTCTCATCGACGTTTCTAGCTCTCTATCTCTCTCCCTTCCTCTCTGTAAAAAATCAATAAAAAAAAAAATATTAAAAAAAAAATAGGTTTAGGTGATGGATCACATTTATTGGTTTGCGAATATTGGACCAGCCTTGCTTCCCTGGAATATATCCCAGTTGATCATGGTGTATGATCTTTTTAATGTGCTGCTGGACCGAATTTGCTAAAATTTTGTTGAGGATTCATTGTCTATGTTCATTGGCCTGTAGTTTTCTTTCTTTGTCGTAGCATTATCTAGTTTTGGAGTTAAGGTAATGCTGGCCTCATAGAAAGATATTGGAAGTGTTCCTTCCTCTTGAATTTTTTGGAATAGTTTGAGAAGAGGAAGTGTTAGTTCTTTTTTTGAGTATTTGGTAATACTACCCTGTGAATTCATCTGGACCAACGCTTTTGTTTGCTGGGAGTTTTTTGATTACTGCTTCAATTTCATCAGTAGTTATCGGCTTGTTTTCTGATACTCTTATTCACATAATACTGTACATAGAAAACTCTGAACACTCCATAAAAAACTATTAAATTTAATAAAAGATTCTGCAATGTTGCAGGATACAAAATTAGCACCCCAAAATCCATGGCATTTTTATATACCAATAGTGAACTCTCAGAAAGAAAAATTAAAAAAAAAGAAAAAAAAGATCCTCTACCACTGCAACAAAAAAATTAAGATACTTAGGAATAAACTTAACCAAGGAGTACAAGTAAAAGACTTGTACTCTTAAAACTACAGGACATTGAAAAAAGAGATAGTTCAAGGTATAAACAAATGAAAGAATATACCATGTTCATGGATTGGTAGAATCAACATCATTAAAATGTTCACATTACCCAAAGCAATTTACAGATTCAATGCAATTACTATTAAAATATGAAGGGCATATTTCACAGACCTAGAACAAACACTCCAAAAGTTTATATGGAGCCAAAAAAGATCCCAAATAGCTGCAGGAATCTTGAGAAAGAAGAATGAAGTTGGAGGAATTACAATACCATATATTAATTTATACTGCAAAGCAATTGTGATCAAAACAGCGGGTATTGGTACAAGAACAGGACTACAGACCAATGGAACAGAACAGAGAACCCAGAAATTGACCCACACTGCTATGCCCAATTAATATTTGACAAAGAAGGCAAGGATATACACTGGAGTGGAGACAGTCTCTTCAATAAAAGGTGTTGGGAAAATTGGACAGGCATATGAAAAAAATGAAACTAGACCACCAACTTACACACCATACACAAAAATAAACTCAAAATGGATAAAAGACTTAAATGTAAGATGTGAAACCACAAAAGTCCTAGAAGAAACCATAGGCATCAAAATCTCAGACATAGCAACGTGTTTACCAATACATCTCCTAGGACAATGGAAACTAAGGAGAAAATAAACAAATGGGACTACATTAAAATAAATAGCTTCTGCACTGCACAATAAACCATCAACAAAATAATAAGAGAGCCCACTACATGGGAGAACATATTTGCTAATGATACATCTGATAAGGGGTTAATTTACAAAATATATAGGGAACTCATACAACTTAATAAAAGGAAGACAAGCAATCCAATAAAAAAATGGGCAAAGGACCTAAACAGACACTTCTCCAAAGTGGACATACAAATGGCCAAGAGACACAGGAAAAAATGCTCGAAGTCACTACCCAATAGGTGCAAATGCCCTAGGAGATCATTAACAAATCAACAGGAGACACGGAAACTACGAGACCTGAACAAGATTAGTAAATCAATGATTAAAATGTATCATTATGCTGGTGAGGTGGCACATGGGGCAGGCACTTTGGAAAAGCTTGGCAGGGACCCAGCAATGCCACCCAAGAAAATGAAAAAGTTAGGGTCCATGCAAAACCTGTAGTATTACTCAGGATAACCAGAAAGTGCAAATAACTCGAATGTCTACCGCCTGAGGAATAGACAAGTGAATCTGGTGCAAAGGAGCATCAGGCAGCCATGAAGAGGAATGAAATACTGACACATGCCACAGCACAGACGAACCTCTAAAACCACGCTAAGTGAGAAAAGCCGAGCACACAAAAAACCCACAGGCTGTATGTTTTTCTTGACGTGAAATGTTTAGTATTTTCAAACCCATGAGACAGAAAGCGGAGTCATGTTTGTCGGGGGCTAATGAGTAGGGGGTTTCTTTATGGGGTCAAAAAAGTGTTCTGGGATTAGATGATGAGGATGGTTGCACAACTTCGTGAATAAAACCAATGAATATACTTTTAAAAGGGTAAATTTTATGGGATAAAAACTACATCTCAATGAAGTTGTCATAAAAAAAAAAAAAACACACACGACAGTGGTTTCCAGCAAGGAGACATCTAACCCTGATCTTTCCTCAGCTCTGCCCGATGACGTGGCTACAAACATCCTCTTTCTCCCCTCTCCTAGCAGCTCTCACCCAAAAGCACCTCAGAACTTCCAGGAAACACAATGCTGGGGACTTTTAAAACCAAAGAACAATGCTGTCGTCTTTCCTGGAAAGCTTTCTCAGGACCCCATGGGCAGTGTGAGGCCTGGGAGAAAGATGCAGAGAGGCCAGAAGCCAGACCACGCTCAGCACCTGCCTTTCGGGATGCCTGCTCCTTCCTTTTCCTACGGTAGGACAGGCAGGATGTGGGGCACCAGGTCCATGTTCCTCCCGATGCCCCCACGCCCAGGGGGAGCCAAGAGGCTGCTCACGTACACTTACTTAGCTGCATGGGAAATAAGGAACTCCTACAACAGGTTGCAATCTGGGACTTTGCAAACAGTTCTTGATATTTTCTTTCTCACGTCCTGGGTGGTACTTAAGAATGTCACATGATCTGCTCACTGGTGTAGAGGCAGGAATACCCGCAATTCCCCACAAAATCTTTCCGCCCATATTTCTTGGTAGATACTCATTTATATGGCAAATACCATCCCTACTAAAAAGAGGGCATTTGTCTTTCAATCTGTCAAACTTAGCTGGAAAAGTCACGTATATTTTTTATAATCACATATTGACATGATAGAATGTATGATGCAAAAAAAAAACAACAACAAACAAAAACACACAACAAAACAAAACCAAAAAAACACACACACACACAATTTAATAAACATTATGAAATAATTTGACACATATGCAGAATCTTGGGCAAATGGTTAAAATTAGAGATGAACATTAAATGTGGGCAGACTCTGCGTACAGCAACGAATTTAACAGACGTGTTTGCAGAGCTTTCTTGGGAACGAACTTGCTTTCTGTTAATCTTTAAACACCCAGTTCCAAATCTCCCAGCTCTGGGAAAGAGCTTTCTCTTTTGGAACTTTCTCCAACCGACTTTTTTTTTTTTTTTTTTTAGCTGCTTTCCAGCTTCAACTTGTTCTTTCAGTTGTCTGACTGCTTTGCTTCCTCTTTAAGCTCTTGATTTTGGGTCTCCCTCGGGTTCTCCAGAAGGTGACCCAGAGGATTTTGTGCTGAGGTCTGCAGACAGGGGCAGGAAGAGGCGCCGAATCTGTACTGTGTCACTTCTCGCTTCCTGCTCTGCAGCTCTCTCAGCTTCAGGCTTCCTTTGATTTTTAAAGGCTGTTTTTGATAAGGGCTTATCATTTCCTGGTTGTGGTTTCATGTTCTGAAATGGTTCCTCCTCATGCAATTTAGGAATTGGTGACTGCTTTACTTCCTAAAACCAACGGGTCTATATGCTATTGCAGCTTTTGGTTCTCTACTGGGTACATCACTTGGAACTGTCTGGTAAGTTCCTTCTTTTGCTGGTAACCCTCCATCTAAAAATGACTGCCAAGAAACCCACCATAATTTTGCATTTGATGGCACATTATGCTTGTGCAAGACAGAACATTACGCTTTTATTATTACAGACTAGAGGCCTGGTGCATGAAATTTGTGCATGGGGAGGTGTCCCGTCAGCCCAGCCTGCACCCTCTCCAATTCAGAACCCTCCAGGGGATGTCCGACTACCAGTTTAGGCCCAATCCTAAATCAGCAGTTGGACATCTTTCTCACAATCTGGGACCACTGGTCTTAATTGCTCACCTGCCTGTCTGCCTGATCATCCCTAACTGCCCTCCACTGCTGGCCTGGTCACCCCCAACTGCCTTCCCCAACAGCCTGGTTGCCCCCAACTGCCCGCCCCTCCCCTCACACACTGGTCTAGTCACCCCTACCTGCCTCCCCTGCTGTGGGCCTGGTCATCCCACACAGCCCTCTGCTCAGTTGTTTTATCAGCCCTCACTAAACCCCTGCTGGTGTGGTCACCCCACATAGCCTGTTCGTCATCCACTTAGTTGTTTTGGTTACGATGGTCACTTAGGCACATATAGTTGTTTTCAAAGAAGTGAACTTCACTGTTTTCACTGTTAGGAATTTGGGCACAAATAGTTTCAACTTTTGACTGTGATGGATACCAAGTTTGCATTTTTTTTTTTTAATGAAAGATTTTAAACATGTCTCATTTTTCATCACCAAGCTGTAGGCTGGGCTTCCCAGCTGTGCCATCTTTGAATCAATGTACGCCTGCCACATTGATAGGACAGTGTTTTTTGGCAAGAACTCAAGGCAAACTGCCTTTGGGAGGTCAAAGGTCTGTTGCCATTGATAATATTTATTTTTTCCTGTTGCCTCAGGCAAACAAGTTCTCATACTAACTTAAGGTGTAGGCTTTGCAATTCCCCCCAGATTCCCTTGGAAACACTGTGTTTTCTGTAAAATGTGGTGTCCATTCACCATATATAGTTCTGATCTTTAGACTTTCAAGAGTAATGTGGACAGTACCACGTTGTCCAAGAAGGAGCAATACAAATGTCCAAACATTCACACAAGTATGCTGTGATACTTAATAAACAAAACAAAAAACTTGCCTCCTTACAATATATTCTATTATTGCAAATTTACATATCAAGAAGCCTCCCTTTATACTTTTCCAAAGACTGAACTGTTAGTCCTATTGGCATGTCAAATAATGAAGAATAAACCACAAGACACCCTTTACCAAGGGACTGCCTCCAACCTAAATAACAAATCAACCTGCACTGCTAACTGGATGGCTTCAGGGAGAAAGGCTTGGTGACAGGAAGACAGTGGCCCAGGACCTTTCCCACCCACTACCTGGGCAGGAAGCCAGGGTGGTACCCGGTTCTGAAACCGGCATTTCTGAGCACTCGTCTCATTGGAGCAGCAGCCCACACTGGGGAGGTTCTCATGCCTTCCCCCGCTCCCATGCTGCCCCAGTCACACCGAGTGACAGAAAGGAAGGGATAAGGCTGGGCATGAACCATCTACTCCAAACCTCTCAACCCTGCCTCATATACAGTCAAGCTGGACTATGCTTCAGGATGTCAAAATAGAAGCAGAATTTGCTTTAGAGCCATTTAAAAGTGGGTTTCAATGCCGAAACCGGTTTGGCTCAGTGGATAGAGCATTGGCCTGTGAGCTGAAAGGTCCCAGGTTCGATTCCGGTCAAGGGCATGTACCTCGGTTGTGGGCATGTCCCAGTGGGGGGTGTGCAGGAGGCAGTTTCTCTCATCGATGTTTCTACCGCTCTATCCCTCTCTCTTCCTCTCTGTGAAAAATCAATAAAATATATTTAAGAAAAAAAAATAAAAGTGGGTTTCGAGTAAAACATTTACTGTCAATGAGTTTTAGTTCTTCATCTGTTTAATGAATGAAATAATACTTGCCTTGAGAGGTTATTTTGAGGATTACACACATGTATACCCAGCATGGTGTCTAGCATTTGATAAATGGTAGCTCCACCCACTTAACTTCTTTTGCTTTCTCCTGTTTTCTGTGGTGCCCCAGTTGATGTCATTTACCAGTAAGGAGACTTGAAGCTAATCAACCAAATATGTTCAGAATTGAATAAAGAGTTGAAATCTTGAACTATACATTATAATCATGATTTGTGTGATTTGGGACGAAGACCTCAAATTTCAAAAAATACTTTTCCTCTAAAATAAAACTAAAAGTTATGATTTCTATTAATCTTTTATTAAAATCACTAATATAAGTAACTGTCAGTTCACAGCAACAACAAAAACACTAAAAAATAAAGGGATTAAGCAAACAATAAGTAGGAAAATATACCTCATCTTCTTAAAAAGAATTTTTTTTATTGACTTTTTACTGAGTGAGAGGGATAGAGAGTTAGAAACATCGATGAGAGAGAAACATTCATCAGCTGCCTCTTACACGCCCCTTCCTGGGGATCAAGCCTGCAACCAAGGTACATGCCCTCAACCAGAATCGAATCCAGGACCTTTCAAATCTACAGCTTGATGCTCTATCCTCTGAGCCAAACTGGTCAGGGTGATTCCATCTTCTTAAAACGTAATTATTCCAAAGAAAAATTTTATAGAACTTATTTTACCTTCCAAAATGCCTTATGTTAAAAAGTTACAATTTAGGTGATTAGAACCCATTATTTTATTAGAGGAACTTACAAGGAGATACTTCAATCATGTTGTGGACAGAAAAATAAGGGATTCAATGGAAAGCAACCCCCCAGGGTGATCTGGTCATAAATTCCTAATTGGCAGGTCATCGTGGATATCCTGCCCCAGGCATATAACTTCTTAGTGAAAGGTTCATTTTTGTCTTAAACAAGTCCTCTCCATAGCTCCTGAGCATCTAAGATTGAATGTTTTTTTCTACCCTATCTTCTAATTCACGGATTTGATCCTCGGTTTCCCCTAATCTGCTATGTATTCCTTCCAATATGTTCTTTGCGCAATGTTGTGCTATGTTGTTCTTTACTCTGTCTTCACAGTTACTATATCTATTCATGCTGTTGAGCATCTTTACCATCATTATTCTGAATTCTAAATTAGATAAATTTCTTATCTCCATTTCATTTATCTCTTCTTTTGGAGAATTCTCTTGTTCTTTCATTGGGGGTGTTTTTTTTTTTGTCTTCTCATTTTGGCTGCCTGCTTGGGTTTGTGACTATGATTTAGGTAGATCTGCTAAGCCTTCCAATCTTTAGTGCAAAACAGTGTCAAAGGCTATTTCTGACTAATGAGATCAGGCAAAGACTTAAAGCTTCCAGAAACCGCCTCTGCTGCAGACTGATTGGATTTAGGCTTGAATAGCCCTCAGGTAATGGTCCATAGATGTGGTGAGAGTTTTTTCAATAGGATGGGACAATTGCTTCTGCCTGGAGGCTAACTGTTATTCTTGGTCTCTTAATGGCTCTTAGTAATTCCACATCAAGGTATTTTCCAGTAGGGTGGGTCAACTGTCTCTCCCCCCCCCCCCCCCCCCCCCAAGCAAAGCCACCTGTATAGCGAATGTCTGGGTAAGAAAGATGACTTCCGGACCATGAGGGAATGATTCACCACAGGAAACTGGGGTGTCTGCCTTCTGAGCTCTAGCCCCAGAGCCCGATCCTGGCTTCTGCTCACACAGCCACAGACCACTTTACCCTCCTTCTGAGAGAGCACAGGGTGAGTGGATGCACAGGGAATTTTGTGCATTGGCCCTTTAAGTGGGTGCCAGCTTCCAGCTGTGTCTCACTGGCAGACAGCAACCCCACTGCTTTTCACATCCAGATGTTATGTGGGTACCCTTCTCACTGGATAGCCCAGCTTGGAATTAGACCCCAGAGTTCTCAGTGGCAACCCCCACAGCTGAGATATCTCTCCAGGACTTCAGTTGCTGTCTGTGGGAGCCTGGCCAGCCCTTTCATGCCTCAGACCCTCCTACCAATTTCTGTGCGGTCTCCATGTTCGGTCCTCGGTTATCAGGGTTCTCTCCTGTGAGTCTTCTGTCTTCCGTTGAAAATGGTAGTTTTTTCCTGAATATCCAGACTGTTTTTCTGACTCTTCTTACTTTACCTAGCCAGTGTAAACACTCACCTCCCCAAATGTCAGAGAAACACAAAGATACGATGGCTGTTTTTCTGCAGGCATCCCAAAAGCAGCAGGTAACAGAGCAATGCCCCCTGCAGAGTGGTCCAACCGCTCTCGTTAACTGAATGAGCAGACAGAGGTCACCAGTCCACTTCCAACCCACTGTGTGGCAGAGTGGTTTCTATCACTATCAGGGCACTGCCCCTCCCGCCCTGCCCCAATCTATAAGGCAATTACATTATAACACAGCTATCCTTTTATAAACAAAAGAAGCATTTATCACAAAGCAAATCTATGGATTCATAAAATACTGTTGAATCTAGCCAGAGTGTACAGGAGATCTGTCTATGAAACACACGTCTTCCAGAAAAACAAGCTCGAGGGGAGAGCCATCACTCATTGGCAAGCGCCATAGGAAAGGGGGACAGAGCTGAGGCCCAGGGAAAGCTGCCTGTCTGTAGGGGCGGTCAGTAAAGCTCAGGAAATGCTCACAACCCAGAGTGACGGCTAGAAGCGTCATTACACAGACCACTAAAAGCTGTTACCCATAACTGCTTCAAAATCACAATATCGCAACTCATAATGGTTTTTCTCTCCCTCAGACACTGCTATAAACTCAGATGTTACTATAATTAAATACAACATCAACATCAAGAGAGTTAAAATAAGACACTCTTTGAGGAAAGAGAGGTTACAATAAGATGGAGAAAACCCACTTCAGGGTTCACACTAATTCTCCACATGCCTCAATAGTTTCATTAAAAACGTTTCTTCTCTTCCCGAAACCATGGATTCAGAAGGTGATTGGAGATGTGGGAGCCACAGTCTGGGCCGGCTTTATGTACCATCCCACCTCTGCCGATCCCAAACCACACTTCAGGGCGAGGGGCCATGAGCCTTGGTGGATAACAAAGCTGTCTTACTATGGAGAGCAAAAATATGTGACAACTCAAGAGTTTAACTCAATGCTTTTAAGATGTCTCTTCACAAAATTTCATTTACATAAACAGACTCCCATAAAGCTGACTGGTTAGAACTAGGACAGCATACAGAAAAATAGTTAGAATTAAAATACACATACTCAACATTTCTAAATCTTCTTAGTCTTAATAAAATTATGAATTGCTATACCTGCACACCTGTTCTTGCTGTCATTGCCATAGGTACTTTTTGGGCTCCACTCCACCCCTGTCTTGTTTTACAGGCAAATTCTAATAAACTAGAGTTTACTGTCTTTAAAAAGAAAACTAGAGATAAAATGCTGATGAAAGAGCCAGTCACGCAGCACGCTGGGTGCTGTCTCCGCGTCCTCACCTTCCCCGGGTGGCCTTCTGCAGCACCTTCATGCCCGCCAGGCGGCAGGCCCGCCCCTCCAGCCGCCTGTCCTGAGAAACGGTGCCCTCAGTGTGCACCTCGCCGAACATCCCGTAGGCGTCCTGCACCAGGAGGCAGGCTCTGCAAGAAAGCACCCACAGTGGCTCTTACTGGGACAGTTTTCGATACAACAGATCAGGACAAATCAAGTTGAATTCAAACATGCACTTTTAAGATTTGTATATGCAGGCATTTGATCACGGCTCACAAAGGACGGAGACAGAATTCTCTTTTGGCATGACACTAAATCCTAGGCGAAATGAGGCTTAGAAGCACACGAAGGTCATCCTTTCAAATCAAACATATTACTGTTGTCCGGAATGAGCATCCTCTTCCCTCGCCTTCCATAACAGGTATAGGGATAGAAAGTACAAATCTGTAGTTTCAAAACAGTCACAAGGATGTAAAGTACAGCTTATGAAATAAAGTAAGTAATATTGCAATAACTATGTAAGGTGCCAGGTTGGTACTGGAAATATCGGAGGGGTAAACAATACTATTGTCTCACCACTCTAATGTACACCTGAAGCCAATGTAAAGTAATACTGAATGCAAACTGTAATTGGTAAATAAAAAATAGTAAAAAAGTAGAGTGATGGCAAAATAAAGACATCCTATATAATAAAGAACTAATATGCTAATAGTTGTGAAGCCATCACGCCCTAACGACCGATCAGCAGGAGACTGCGTGTGGGGTAGGAGCAGGTGGGTGGGTCAATGTGTTAACTGACTAGTCAAGACAGTAAGCAGCGAGGTGCAGCTTGATGCTGCACCCCCTCCTGGCACAGGCTGGGGACTTGAGGCTGCGTCCCCCGCCAGTGGGGCTTGACAGGGGTGGGGCCGGCTGGGTCTGGGTCTCACCCAGTGGGGTGGGGCCAGCCGGGTCTGGGTCTCTTGCAATTTCGAGGTTCATGTGGGTGGGTGGGGATTTGACTCTGGGTCCTGTGATGCACCCCAGACCCTGACAGGGGGGAGGAGGGAGCCAGATAGTGACATCTAGTCATTGTTTGAATCAATTTTGTTTTTATATCATGTTTCTGTTGTTTTCATATCATATTTTTGTTGTTTTTATATCATGTCTTTGTTGTGTTATATCATATTGTTATTGTTTATTTATTAATAAATGTATATATATTATTTTCATATACATTTTACTAGTTTTCTTTCATCTCTGACACTTCTATTATAGAGGAAGGGCAAATAGCAATAGTAAAATATTTCCTCAAATTAGTTCCCTTTTAATGTTCACAAATTTCTTGCCATTAGTTTTTAAATAAAGAAACCCTGGGCACATTTCTACCTACAGAGGCTGAAATATTTAATAGTTAGTAAATACTAAGGTAATTCCTAAAACAGTCTCAAAATTCTGTAATTTAGAAAAAAGAAACTTATTCCGGCTAAAGGTCTAAGATACAAGAACTACTAAACAACATAAATCTAAATGAACGTGGTGGGATAAAATAACACAGTGAATAATATTAATGTATGGAAATCTTCCCCATTATAAGGAAACCTTATGCAAAAATATCTACATAAAAACTAACTACTAATTCCATCCTGAAAATATAAGGGTTGAAATTGCTCCCAAGTTCTCTATATGAGCTATAGCAGGCTCTCAATAAATATTCCATCCATGAATGAGAGATTGGACAAGTCCCTGTGAACACATATATAGCAAAATCACATGATGACTAATTGCAGATGATGTTCATAGAAATAGTCATTCACCTACTCACTCATTAAGGAATTCATTTGAAACTCACTAGTGCTTATAATTTTGTAGGATATGTGAGAGGAGTTGTTTGAATAAAAAAAAAAAAAGAATTGTAAACCTAATAAAAGATAACGGCAACAGTAACACAACACTAATGCATGTATTCTGGCTAATCAGAGATTCTCATATATTGTTTATTTCTTCAGCTGAGGAAAGTGGACATTATCACCTCCATTTGATAGATGAGGAAAGTGAGGGTCAGTGTGTTAAATGACTAGTCAAGACAGTAAGCAGGTTGCAGAATCAGGTCTTAAACTGGAAGCCCCTGTTTTTGACATTTTTTTTGTGCCATAGCATCACATCACAGTAACAAGCTATAAGAATGCAGAAGAGTGACCAATTTAGCCTAATAGAACCCGAGAGAGTACCCCAGAGCAAGACTCTGGGTCCTGTGATGCGCCCCAGACCCTGACAGGGGGGAGGAGGGAGCCAGATAAGTCTGCAAGGGAAGCACCAAACGGCAACAAGGAATGAACCAATGGCAAACTGCATAATGACCATAAAATAAGAATATCGAAATCTAATCTATAGAGAGGTCAGGATTTATTCTAGCACTAGGCCAAACTAACCTATGTAATAAAAGGCTAATATGCAAATTGACCGAAAGGTTGCTATGATGTGCAGTGACCACCAGGGGCAGATGCTCAATGCAGGAGCTGCCCCCTGGTGGTCAGTGCACGCCACAGGGGAGCGCTGCTCAGCCAGAAGCCAGGCTCCTGGCTGCTGAGTGCAGTGGTGGTGGAGGGGGCCTCTCCTGCCTCCATGGTAGCACTAAGGAAGTCCAACTGATGGCTGAGGCCTGCTCCCCTAGCCATCAGGTGGATATCCCCTGAAGGCTCCCGGACTGTGAGAGGGGGGACCTCCACCAAGGGCCTCTAGTCCTATATAGTAAAGAGCTAATATGCTAATTAGACTGGAGAGTGGAATGACCTTTCAGAATGACCAGTGGGTGGGGGCAGAGTTGCAAGGCAGCTAGGGCTGTGAGGGCCGAGGCAGCTGGGGCTGTGAGGGCCTACTCTTGCACAAATTTCATGCATCGGGCCTGTAGTTTAAAACATAGTTATATATAAACTAGAGGCCTGGTGCATGGAAATTCATGCACTGGGGGGGGGGGGGGGGGGGCGAAAGGTGTCCCTCAACCTGGTCTGTCCCCTCTCACAGTCCAGGAACCCTCGGGGGCGGGAGGCAGCCCGATGATCAGGGGAAGGTGATGCCCCATCACACCTCTGCTGATGCCACTGCTGGCAGTGCAAGCCTTGGCCGGCCCTGGTTACCTGAGCCTCAGGTGGCCCTGGGTGGCTGGGCAGCCACCATCCGAGGCTTGCCTGTGCCTTGGGCTGACCCTGGGTGGCTGGGGGGCTGAGAGCACTGGGGGACTCCGGAAGCAGGATGAGGGGACTAGGCGCCACCATCCTGTGGTTGTGGGTACCGCCATCTTTGAGGGTGGGAAGTCAATTAGCATATTCCCTCCTTATTAGCTGTGGGCGCCGCCATCAGCCTTGCGACAGCGTGAGAACCAATTAGCATATTCCCTCTTTATTAGATAGGATAGTAACTAGTCAATAATGAGGCCACTTATCTAGAAGAACTTCACCCCCTCTCTAACTTTCAAAAGACACTTTTAAATGTTCAACAAGACCCGTATCAGAGTAGTAAGGTCAGAATGTAAGTGATTAATGCTAGTTATAAAAAATGGGCTGTTCATGTCCCTTGAAAACAATTTAATTGGCCAATAAACTTACCATTTCATACAAAATAAGCAAAGACTGTATGATTTGATCAGAGACCCCAGTGGGAAAGTACAGAGAAGTGTAGCAGAGGTAGGGACATTTTTTTAGCATAGCACAAAAGGTTGCAAAGCCATGAAATACGTTTCACAAGATTCTTAATCTTGTGGATTTCTCATTGTGCTCTAAAGCAGTATCCTGGCCTTTTGGGCGTGTCTAGTGAATCTACGATCCATCTATTTATGCGTTAAGTGCAGTAGAACTGCCACTTGAGTAGGCCTTCAGTGAGGTCTAGGGATGTGCTATGAGCAATCCTGCCCTCTGTACCTCTACACGAAAAGGTTGAACACAGATAAATACACAATCACAAGTTGTGGTGGCACGAGGAAGAAAATAAGCAGAGTGACTTGAGAAACTATACTGGGGTGGGATGGTCTACCCAGGGAAGTTTTCTTAAAAGAGGTGACCTTTAAGTTGAGTCCTGGAGAAAGAGAAGCCAATCCTGCAAAAGGTTGAGAAAAAGCATTTACAACAGAGGAAACCTGTGATAGGAAAGAGCTCTTCCATGTTTGAAAAACTGTAAAAAGATTAGAAAAAATAGGGGGAAATGGTAGTAACATAAAAGACTAATATTTGGGGATTTCAATGTATTATTCTTAATTTAAGCTATATTTTTGTTGATTTCAGAGAGGAAGGGAGTGTGTGAGAGAGAAACATCGATGACGAGAGAGAATCATTGATTGGCTGCCTCCTGCACACCCCCTCCTGGGGATAGAGCCCACAACCCTGGCATATGCCCTGATGAAAGGGGACCTCTTGGTTCATGGGTTGGTTGATACTCAACCATTGAGCCACAAATTGTTCTTAATTTAAAATAAAAATTATATTTCGGAAAGAAAATTAAAATGTTAACAAGCATTTGTAAAGAAGGAAGGAAAAGGGATGGGGAGAGAAAGGACTGGGTGTGTGTGGGCAGCAATAGAGAGGCATCTTGGTGGAGCGAGGCTCATGGTTGGGCGTGGCTGGCACTGTGTGGAGGTGAGGGCAGTAAAGGCCCTGGTGAAAGGCCTGTGCAAGGAGGCTGCCCTGACCAGGGCACCAGGGGGGTAAATAACCCGCATCTGTGACAGTGAGCACTTACCTCCTGCCATCAAAGAACCAGCAGTGGGGTGACAGTACATAATATTAGATAATATTTTTCTCATAAAAATATTAAGATACTATTTTTCTTTCAGGAATGTAACTCTTAAGACAAGGTAGAGGATGTTGTGTTAAATTGTAACATATATTAAAAATTGGGTGATTTTACATAAAATTCTAATTTCCCATTGTTTTAAGACACCTGGGTTCTAGGAGAGCTAGGTCAACACCCCACGGATGAAGCGCCAGCTTGTCAATCCGGTCCGCGGGCCCTGCCCCATCCTCTGATCGCAGCCCTCACACAACTCCATTCTCTGGGCCTCTGTCGGCATGCAAGCACACATTGGAAACATCCCCAGGGCTCTGTCGGCATGCAAGCATGCGTTAGAAACATTTCAAGGCACGGCAGAAGAACACAGTCATGGATGATGAGTGAGGGC